GATTTTCAGAGTCATAGCAGTGTTTCCTGGTCCCCCTTGGTCTGGAAGCTCTATTGAAAACAAACTCCTGACAGATGGCAGTAGCAGCATTTGAGGTTGGTGGGAATCAAACCTGGCTCTGCTGTAGGGAAGGTAAGAATTCTACCAGTAAGCCCCCAGTGCTTGCCTCCATAACCTTGGAAATGTAAGCTTTTCCAAGCCTGAGTTTTCTTCTATAAAATAATAGTGCCTACTTCACAGGGCTGTTAAGAGTCAGTGAGGTAAAATACACAAACAACACATAGTTTAGCACTTGGCACTTGGTCTTTAAAAATAGTTGCTGTCATCATCAATGTCATTATTATTCTCTGTTCAATAAAAGGGTGGTGACATCCCAGCTGGTGCTCCACTTACTCCAGTCTGTTCTTCACATGTTTCGGCCTCAGCAGATGGATTTGGAATGGATGGCTCTTGAATGCTCACCATATGTCTGTGTTGATACAATGGAAGCATTGGGGCAGCCGCTTGGTGGTGCCTAAGCAGAGCAGGATTCAAGACATGAGGCTCAGCATTTCACGTCTCTCCATAGCTGAGTTGTATCTGTTGTCTGTACATGCCACCTTTGGTTTATCTACTCATCTGCTGATGGATTCTTAGGTGTGTTCACCTTCCGGTTATTGGGTACTTCGGTTGTTTGTACCTTTTGGCTATTGTGTATTATCTTAATCATCATACTTAAAACACCAGCCACTCAAGAGGTGTGAAGAAGTAGGCTCTCCTGTATTGCTGCTGGGAGTATAAAGTGATACAACCTTTTGGGAAGAAAAGTATGGCCGTGTCAATAAGACTTTTTGGAAGTATACTTTGATACAACAGTTTGGCTCTGAGGGAGTATAATATACTAGGTACTACTAGAAGTACCTAGAAAGACGTGGATGAAAATGATGATTACAATACGTAGGGGGGAAACGGAGGCACTTTGATTGAGTGATGGTTGGTTAAGTAAAGTAGAATAAAAGGGAGTTTCAAAAAATTTGTGGAAAGATTCTATTATCTTTCAATTCTATTTTTCCATGAATGTTTTGAAGCCCCCTCATCAGTTCACAGTTCAGCCTGACAGACAGATCCAGTCTATGCTGGTATGAAAAGATGCCTAAAATATAGTAAGTTTAACAAAAATGAGTTACAGAACAATAGGAAAAGTACAGTCTTTAATTGTGTTTTAAGGTTGAGTTGTAGTTATAATTTTACATATGTAAAAACATTCTGGAAGAATCTAGATATGAATAAAATCCTTTAAGAGTGTTCATCCATTTAGGTGACCAGCAAGCATATAAAAAAAATGCTGAGCATCATTATCCATTAGAGAGATGGAGACAAAACCACAATGAGTTATCTCTTCACTCCCACTGTGGCGGCTAAGATGAAAAATAAAAATCCAAAGAACAGAACCACAAAAAAACAAATTAAAATTGTTGAGAAGGATATGGGAAAACAGGAGCCCTTATCCATTGCTAGTGGGAATGCAAAATGGAACAGAATGTGGAAAAGTTTGGTATTTCCTTAGAAAGTTAAACGTTTTTAGGTGCTGTCAAGTCGGTTCTGACTCATATGGACCCTATGCACAACAGAACGAAACACTGCCAAGTCCTGCACCATCCTAATAATTATTGCTACACTTGAGCCCAATCCTGCTGCCACTGTGCCAATCCATTTCTTTTTTTTTTTTTTTGGGGGGGGGGTGTCTTCCTCTTTTTTGTTGACTGTCCACTTTACCAAGTATAATCTCCTTCTCCAGGGATTGGTTCCTCCTGATAACATGCATACAAAGAATACTGTTCAGCCATAGAGAGAAATGAAGGCCTGAAACTTGCTACAACATGGATGAAACTCAAAAGCCTTGTGCTCAGTGAAATAAGTCAATCACAAAATGACAAATATTGTATGCTCTTCCTTTTATGAAATAACAAGAATAGCCAAACACAAAGAGTCCAAAGTTTGTATCTCAGGGTGGAAAAGGTCAGGAGGAGGAAGAGCCATTGTTTACAAAGAGTGAATGTTTAGTGATGGTGAAGGGCCATGGGGCCATGGTTATGGGGGTAGTTGCATAAAGTGATTAATGTAACTGACACCATTAAATTGCACACCTGAAAAATGCAGAACTGGCAACAAAGAAATGAAAATATTTACTCACCTAGTAATGACGGAACCCCCCCCCCCCCACACACACACACACAAAGGTGTGGTTCTCCCTTGGAGGGAGAACGAGAGATTAGAGGGAAAGACTGCGATGTTCACCTCAAGCCCTTTTTCTGAACTGTGTTCAGCTTTTCCTATGAATAGCTTTTTTCTTATGTTTAAAATAAAAATTTAAAGTTATAGTATAAGCTAGTTAACAGTGTCTCTGTCTGAAGTGCAGTGCTGGGGAATGGAGGGTCCCTCCAGATGCCCTGGTGTCTTGTAGAGGATTCTTGGAAAGTCAGTTTTGTGAAGTATTTGGGGTAGAAGGTTCTAGAACTGGCATCTTCCTTTCCATTATAATTGCTCTAATATATATATCACATTTTTTTTTTCTTCCCCTCATTCCCTACCTCCTGTTGTTTAAATCAAACATTTCTATGTTATATCCCTTAACTTTTGGTTCACTGTTGTTAAGTGCCATTGAGTCGGTTCTGATCCTCACAGTCGTTGTTATGCCTGAGACCCATTGCTGCTGCCACTGGGCCAATTTATCTCCTTGGGGGTCTGCCTCGTTTTTGCTGGCCCTCCACTTTATCCAGCATGCTGTCCTTCTCCAGGGACTGATGGCTCCTGATAATATTTTTGAAGTATGAGAGAGGAGGTCTTGCCATTCTGGCTTCTAAGGAGCATTCCGGCTGTACATCTTACTACACAGATTTGATCTTTTGGAAGTCCATGCTACTTTGAATAGTCTCCTCCAATGTCATAAGTCAAATGCATCAATTCTTCTAGATCTTTCTTCTTCACTGATGTCTTTCACATATACATGAGGCTATTGAAAATAACTGTGCGTTGATCGTGAATCTAAGCAAAATGAAGTCTCTGACAACTTCAACCTTTTCTCCATTTGTCATGATGCTATTTATTGGTCCAGTGGTGAGAAATTTTGTTTTCTTTACATTGAGGTACAACCCATACAGAATACTGTGGTGTTTGATCTTCATCAGTAAGTATTTTAAGTCCTCAGCTTAGCAAGCAAGGCTGTATCTCCTGCATAAGTTTTTCCCATCCTGATGCTACTTTCGTCTTCATATAATCCAGCTTCTCACATTATTTTTTCAGCACATAAACTGAATAAGTATGGTAAAAGAATACAACCCTTGCACACACCTTTTCGGACTTTAAACCATTCAGTGTCTACTTGTTCTATCCAAACAACTGCATCTTGGTCTATGTACAGGTTCCTCATGAGTACAGTTTAGTTTTCTGGAATACTCATTCTTCACAATGTTACCCTTAGCTCCTTTGTGTAGTATATGAGAGGCTTCAAAAAGCTCATGGAAAAAAATCCATTATTTTTTCATTCCATTTTCCACAAACTTTCTATAGCCATCTCCTATGTGTACATGCAAAGAGTGGTCTGGGAAATCAGTCCTCTTTTTTTCTTTCTGTCCTGGGGTGGTTTGGGAGCTCTATAATCATACAGTTTGGCTTTGGAAGTCAACTCCTCTCTTAGTAAATTTTTCAAATCTCTGGGCCTTTTAATTTGAATACAATTCATCTGTGAAATGGGTTTCATAATACCTATGTTAAAAAGGATGCACTTCGATGTAAAAAAAAAAAACAACAAAAACAAATCTCCTCACAACTGGACCAATAAATAACATCATGATAAATGTAGAAAATATTGAACATCAAAGACTTCATTTTGCTTGGAATCACAACCAACCCTCATGGAAACAGCAGTCACAAAATCCAATGACACACTGCATTAAGTAAAGCGGTCTGCACAAGACCGCTTTAATGTATTCAAAGGCCAAGATGTCAATTTGAGGACTATGGTTCATCTGACTGGAGCCATAGTATTTTCAGTTGCCTCATGTGCATGTGAAAGTTGGACGATGAATAAGGAAGACCACAAAAGAATCAATGCATTTGAATTCTGGAATTGGAGAAGAATATTGATAGTACCATGGACTGCCAGAAGAAAAATCAAATCAGTGTTAGAAGAAGTACAGCCAGAGTGTTCATTAGAAACCAGGATGACAGAACTTCCACTCTCATACTTTGTACTTGTTAACAGGAGACACCAGTCCCTGGAGAAGGACATCATGCTTGGTAAAGTGGAGGGCTAGTGCAAAAGAGAAAGACCCCAATCAGATGGATTGACCAAGTCTCAGCAACAATTTGCTTAACATCGATTGTGAGGCTGGTGCAGGACCAGGCGGTGTTTTGTTTTGTTTTGTTTTGCATCAGGTCACTAGGAGTCTGAACCGACTTGATGGCACCTAACAACAACAATGTCAAAGGATGGTTGTAGGGATTAAGCATGTATTTACATCTCAGATATTTAGAACCATGCCTAGGACATAGTTACAGCTCAGTAAGTGTCAGCTGTGATGGTTGACATTGTTCTTTTCATCTTGTGTCCCACCCCCACAGTTGAATAAGTTCCTTTTCTTCTACCTTCTCAATATATAACAGGGGCGAAGTTTTCCTCTTTTGCCTGGTATATGGTAAGGGCTCAAATCTCTAATGAAGCTGAGAAAGCACTGTGAATGTTAGGCACTGTTGTTTCTCCCTGGTTTTACTCTCTTCTTCCTGCTTGAGACACCGTGGCCCAATTATGTGTCTTGCATCATCTTCTGGTCACTTAGAAAAGTTAAGTCATGCTTTATCTGACAACAGCTTTCCCTGAAGAGGACACGGACTGGGTCTTCTCTTTTGACAAGTCCACTGGGGTCTGCAGAGGTCCTATCCTGGATGCTCTGAACCCCGTGGGGTTGGTGGCAAATCCAGCAAGTTCTCACCTCCTGGTCCTCCCACCTCCCCCTCTCCAGGGCCAGGAGCTGACCATCCGCCAGATCTCCCTGCTGGGCTTCCGAGACCTGGTCCTGCTGAAGGTGAAGCTGGGAGACTTGCTGCTGTTGGCCCCATCCAAGCTGCCCTCATCCATTGTCCAGATGTTACTCATTCTGCAGGTGAGGACCTGCGGTGGATGTGGCTGCATATGTGGTCCCAAGGCCAAGGGAGGGAGGGGACTGCCACTGTAAGATGTAGGGGGGAGGGGAACAAGTGACCAGAGTGTTGGGAGCTACCTTTGCATAGTTTATTCTTAAGTTCATGTGTCTCTGTTCCTTGTTCATTTGTCCATTTGCTGTCCATACTTTGAGAACCTTGTTGGTCCCTGGTACAGTGCTCGGTGCTGAGACCACAGCAGGATGGGAAAGAAGCATAGTCCTGTCATTCGGGAAGTGGACACTCTTTCCCTCTCCAGTTTGGTCAGGGAACAACAAAAAGTCCACTTCTAGCTCAAGGCAGAGCGGACCGGAGGCTCACTGGGAGGTTGCTGGGGCAGATGGACTTCACGAGGGATGGCATCCAGAAGCGTGACAATGTCACACAGCAAAACCAGCAGGCTTTCTCTGTTTACTGGTCTCTACTTGTATCTGTCTGCCTTCTTTCTGTCTGTCGCTTCCTCTCCTGGTCTTGCCTGGCCATTCTTAAGACTTCATCTCTCTCTCTGCAGAATTGCATTCCATGCTTTAGTTCGTACTTGATTGCACGTAGCATCCCATAGCGCATGTGCTTGTACCTTTTCCACTAAAACTGTCTGGATGCTCACCTGTTGTTAAGTGCCATTAAGCACATTCCAATCCTCGCGACCCTGGATAGGGTTTTCAAGGAGCGACTGGTGGGTTTGAACTGACAGCCTTGTGGTTAGCAATCCAGTGCTTATCCTACAGCACCACACCAGGACTCTGGATGATTTCCTATCTCTCTCAGTTCCAGTAGGAACACAAGCTACCATGGATTGGTTTCTGGCTATAAGCCAGGTACAGTTCAGAGACTCTAAGTGTATTTGATGAATCAAATCATCCAACCGACTGCGTCTGGAGCTCTGGGTTCATGCGTCAGACTGCAAACCTCTTGACCTGCAAGGTTGGCGGTTCAAGCTCACCAGCTGCTCCTCGGAAACCCTATACAGGGTCGCTATGGGTCAGAACTGACTCGACGGCACTTACCAACAACTGCCGTATAGGTTGGCATTATTCCATTTTACAGATGAGGAAACTGAAACTGAGGAAGTTTACGTGCTTGCCACATTGCTCATTAGTACGTGGTAGAGAACATTCTACTTCCCCAGCTTGAGCTAGGCGACTCCCGCCCCCCCCCCCCCCAATCAGCTATGACTTTGAGTGGGATCACGTAGCATAAACACATACTCAGCAATGCCAAGTTCTCAGAGAACAGGTCTGTCAGCTAAGCAGACCCCCAGAAGATGGTCCCTCAGCTCTGCTCCCAGCTCTAGCAAAATGGTGCAGCATCAGGGATGAAGGTTCCATCCTTGCGCAGGATGGTGCTAAGCCCGTGCCATCCTCACAAAGGGATGGGATGCCAGGCTTGGGGCTCTGATGCCCCAACCTCTGCTCTTCTCTTCTGGTTCTCTGAGCTTGCCTGATGTTCTGGAGAGCCTCCCCGTTTCCTGAGGTCGTGGAGGGGGGTGTCCAGTCGACGAGGGTAGGTATCGCTGGTGGAACGTCAGGTCAAGAATGTCCAGGGAAGGGGACACGGGGGGCAGGCGGCGGGGGAGACAGGTGTGCAGCAACTAGAGGCTGCCTCTTGACTAAGAGTTTAGAAAAGGAGCTGTTCAGGACTCTGATAGGAGGACTGGGCTTCCACACCCCCATTTGTAGTATTTGAGAGATGTGAGATGATGCCTTTGGGAGAGTTGGTTTGAAAGGAGGAGTGACCCAGTCTCACAGATGAGCACAATCACCTCCTGATATGGGGCGTAGGAAGACCTTCTTACACTTGCCACCTGCCGATCTTTGTATGAGATGCATGCTATACTATTGAAAAAACTGGCACCAAGCCATCTCTCCATCCACACACTCAACTTCTCATCTGGGTTTAATAACTGATCACACCGGCCATACAGAACTCAGAGATAGTCCTCACAGTTATGGGGTTTTCTAGGGATGTTAACAGACTGCAGTTCAGGGGCAGAAATGTCCAGGCCACAGTTCAGTGTCTCCTCAGCCATGTCCACAGGCAGGCCTCTCTGCCTGGCCACAAAACTCTTTGAGGCTGCTGATCAGTGCTCAAAGCCACTCTGCTCTGCTATACGCCTTAGTCCAATGGCTCTCCACTTAGCTGTGTGGGCCGGCAAACCTAGCTCCCCCAATCCTGTGCCTGGAGGTGCACTTCATTCTCAAGGAAGCCACCTGTCCAGAGTCACTCAGCTTCATTTGCTCTGTGGACTGGGAAGCCCACCACTCTGCCTGCTGCTCTGACTCTTGGTTCTGCTGCTGCTGCTCCTCGGATGCCACAGCTCTGTGTCCCTGGGTGAGGAGTCTCAATGTGCAGAGATCTCAGGGTCCAAGGGATGTGCTCCACTCCTTGCACTTCATTGATGGTAGTGAGATCTCCACTCCAGCTGTTTCATTTTACACCCGTGCTAGCGTTTCAAGTTTTTACACTGATAATTAACTCAGTGAACATCCACGTCATCCTACCAGTGTCTTCTCCCACCTTCTCTTCCACAGATGCAGCAGGAAAAGAGCCATTTGGTGGGAGTTACAAAGACTAAGGCTAGAAGAGACACATTAAACCATTCAGTACACCACAGATATATACTACAACCAGCAGCCATCAAACCAAGTGCAGCTCCTGCTGAAGCCATATGTATCGGCACAGAGCTGTGTTCCACAGGAACACATAGATTGCCAGTCTTTTCTTCCAAAGCACCTCTGTGTGGACTCAAACCTCCAACCTTTGGTTAGCAGCCAAGCATGTGGTCTGTTCGTTCCACCCAGGGTCTCTGCTTACACACTGGAGGAGGATCATCAGGATTTTCTGACTAACTGCCAAGCTGGTTGTTGACTTGTCTGTTTTGGATGTTCATTTTCAGAGTGTTCACGAGCCCACAGGCCCAAGTGAGAGTTACTTGCAGCTGGAGGAGTTGGTGAAGCAAGTCGTCTCTCCTTTCCTCGGCCTCAGTGAGGGCCAGGGCTTCTCGGGCCTCACATGCACTCTGGGTAAGAAGCCCTGTCTCATGCTGCCAGGACCCTTCTAGATAATAATGATCCCAGATATGCCCGTTTTACTGAGCACCAGGGATGCGCAAACCCTTTGCTTCTGGTATGGGGCCATCTGAAATCTGTGCATTTTAATCTCTCCTGGTTCTGCCTGTGTTCCTGTAGTGCGTCTCCTGGGGATTTACCCCTCAAGGACCAGAACCGTGCTTCTTGGCAGTGCTCATCTGATGGGCATCTTTGAGCAGTGGCTTTGATATGGTGTGTGTGTCTGTGGGCTTTTCCTGCACCCAGTATCAGAGACTTCCCTACCTGCAGCCCTGTCTCACTGGAGTGGGAACCCTGCGGCTAGTAGACGTCCCTCACTCTCAGAAGCAGGGGGGAAGGTGAGGCCAGTCCAGGCTTGGGGTGAGTGTGACCACGTGGTGGTACTTCGCTGCTGCCCCTGCTCCATTTCTGTGGGTTTGGCTAGGGTCTTGGGGACAACTCTTGTTGGGGGTTTCCTTGCTAGTGAGTACCAGGCACTGTACGAGGCTTCCTGGAGAATCTAAAGATGAACCAGACCTGCTCCTTCTCTCAGTGAGACCCTCCCAGGCCTGCCTGCGGTCTGTTTCCGGGGTGTGGGGGGTGTTGAGAGCGGTTGCTTTCCTGTTGCTCATGACACTGCCCCCCTCGCTGCTCCCCACCACTGCATCCCACAGGGGCTGGGATAGGGTGCGTGTGGGGGAGAGTTTGGCCTTGTGGGGGTAGTGACGATGAGGACTAGGTGCCAAGGGGGGTGGGCATTAGCGGTGGCCCATGGAAAACCCCTCTTGCCCAGGGGAAGGGCTGTCCTATGGCCACTGTAACAAGGTACTACACCAAGTACCTGTGGTTTATGTCAGTAGAAATGTATTATCTTACAGTTCTGGAAGGCAGTCGTCAGAAATCGGCTTCTGTGTGTGGTAACTCCTTGAAGGTTCTTAAGAAGAATCTGTTCCATGCGTCTTTCCTGGTTTCCGGTGATGACCAGAGACCCTTGGCCATTCCCTGTCTTGTCGGTGTGTCACCTCACATCTCTGCGTCTGTCTTCACATGCCGTCTTCCTTCTGCGTTTCTCTGTTTCTGCACCTCTCCTTCTCCAGGATACCACTTGTAGTAGATTAGAATCCCATACTACCCAGTGTGGCCTCATGCTAAGTGAACTGAGAACATCTTCAAAGACAGTGTTTCTAACAGAGTCATCGTCAGAGGGACTGGGGGGGGTGGTTTAGGAATCAATATATCTTTGTGGGGGACAACATTTCAATCCATAATATTGGGAGAAAGACCATAAAATAAGGCTGATTATAAAAGGCATTCCTCAGTTATGCTCTGAAATGTAAGCCCCCAACATGCAAGAGTTTGTTCATCATTCTATCCCCAGTAGCTGGAATGGTGGTTGGCACATAATCTGCACTGTAATATTTGCTAGATGGGTGGCAGGCAAGTGTAGCCCAAGACCAGGGAGGCTAACCCCACAGAGAGGTGCAGAGACAGAAATGGATTCCTCACATTTGGACCCCATCATCCCATCTTCTCAAAGAAAAGGACAGTGTCCTTTGAGAAATTCTACCACGATTACCTCTTTGGACTCCCCCCAAAACTGTTGCCATAACCTTGAGTTGACCTCTCTGCCTTGAATGTAGCTGGTCCAACAGATGCCCTTGGAAGCCACTGTTTGACTGGACCTTTTTGTGTGTTTTTTTCGGAAACGACCCTAACAAAACTAAGACAAGTGTAATACTGAGAGAGCTTGTTTGAGCCGTTCACTCACCTCAGAGATGTGTTTAAACACTCTTAGTTTAGAATACACTGGTGCATGTCTGAACGACACCATAGTAACAATACTTGTTGACTTAAGCTCCTATTAATGGAAGGTGAGTCTATTACAGTAGCTGTAAGGTGATTTATATTATGTTACATTAAATTACATGGACAAGGATTGTTAAGTGCCATCATGTGGGTTCCGACTCATAGCGACCCTGTATAGGGCTTCTGAGGAGTGGCTGGTCTCATAGTTCACACTGACCTTGTGGGCCTGTGTTTACCCTACAGCGCCACACCAGGACTCCTCTACAAGGACTGAAGTTAGGGTTCCAAGACTGATTTTAGGGGATATAATTCAGTCCGTATCAGAGGTCTACCTTCCCATGGCTTTCCAGCTAAACTCAGAGCAACACACTTTAGTCATATTGTTATTAATTGTTATTATTAGGTTTTATTCTTGAACCCGAGAACAAATTTTACTTCTGGGAGTTGTCTAGAAGTGGAGGGCGGGGGGAGGGAGGAAATGACGATTTGATGGTTCTTTGAATGATTAACATTCCAACAGATGTTTATGGAGACCCTGTGCCAGGTACCTTGTGAGGGACCACAGACAGATCATGAACAACACACATCCATCCCTGCACACCGCCAATGGGGGCAGCCACAAATCATAGGCAGGGACTCACCAGTGAACAAGGTCTGATGGAGGATGGATCCAGGGATTGCTCGACCAGGACATGAGGGGGAGGGCATCTGAAGGATGAAACAGGTTAGCTGAGCATATGGGGAGGGAAGACTCCCAGGCAAAGGGCAAGGTCTGTGGGAGGGGCGGGTAAACAAGAGTGGAGCATTTAAGGAACTGAAAGAGTTTAGGGGTGTGCTAGAGCACTAAGTGCAAAGTGACCAATGGCAAAGAGCCCCAAAACACAGGCCATGCCCTGGGCACCATACCGTGTGGCCTGTGGGTCCTATTTTACAAATGAAGCTTGTGGTTACTAAGGTGTTGGCACCAGGATTCCAAAGCCCCAAGCTCACAAGCTGCTCCCCACTCTACCCCACAACTGTCAACTGTTAGGAGGTGACTTTGTTGGGGGCAGGTGAGGAGATGGCCCTTCTCCTTCCACTCCTTAGCCTATGAGGTGTCCCAGGCATTTCATCCCAGACCTGGATATTAAGTACTAGCATGGCCGCTGTGGCACCCTGGCTTACTGAGAACTCTTCCTTCCAGGTCGAGAAAGAGCCTCAGTCTTCCCTTCAGCAAAATGGAGGCAGTAATATTTATTCTGCATCTGCTAGTGGGTGCTGAGACGACTGGCTGAAGTAAAACAAATAAGGCACTGTGTTACGTGAGAGTGAGAAATCCCTGCACGCACATGAGAGGGTTTTACCATGTTTCATTTGGGCCTTAATGGGGTGGGAGTGGTCAGGGCGAGCTGGGAGACCACCTCGAAGCCATCCCTTACCAAATGCCTGCCGCATTCCAGGTACTGGCCAGGTTCTTAGCTTGTACACATTTCTGCCTCCTCGCACAGCCCGCTGAGCAGAGGCTGCTACTCTTAGTTACCTCAGTCTCCGAGTCAATAAGAAACGTCCTCAGGGTTGTTCCCTGGTCAGGGACCCGAGCCAGAAAAGGAAACACCTAGTTGCTGTTGAGTTGATTCTGCCTTATGGCAGCCCTGTGTGTCAGGGTAGAACTGTGCTCCATAGGGTTTTTAATGGCTGGTTTTTCTAAAGTAGGATGCCAACCTTTTTCTTCTAACGCACATCTGGGTGGACTCGAACCTCTGACCTTTAAGTTAGCAGTCGAGCATGTTAACCCTTTGTGCCAGGGGCTCCAGAAAAGAGGTTTTCCTATCAGGCACTACACACCCCACCCAAGTGCCCAGGCATGTTTGGCCCTAGGGGGGTTCCCAGGAAATCTTTTTTTTTTTTTTTTTTCCTGACAGCCAGGCTTAGGGTCTAAGAAGGAAGCCTCACACTGTGAATGTGCAGAGTCCTCAAGTCTAGAATGGACTAGATGGGTGCACCTGGGTCCTTTTTCCTCGGCAACTTGCTTTTCTAGAGCATTTGGGAGCGTGAGGGGGAAGAGAAGAGTGAAATCTTTAAAACAACAAAAAAGGGGCCAACCTTCCCAGTTGCAGACGTTTCTAAGCTGCTGACAGGGTCCTCCCGCATGAACACACCCACACAAAAGCCCCAGCTCCACACAGGTCCCTCTCATTGTGTCACTGGGGGCGGGCCCTGGCCTCTTGCACACAAGCACCACCTCGCAGATAGTGTAACCCCCTGCAGGACAAGGAAGCAGTCATGGACACTGAGTCTGTAGAGGGGCGCCCCCCAGTAGGCTTGGTGTGGCTGAATTATGGCAGCTGTGAGCCTGAGAGATCAAAGGCCTGGGAACCAACCGAGACCCTAACCAAGGACCTGAGCAAGGCCTCATCCAGCTTTGCTCCTGTTTGGGGTTTGAAAGGAGCTGACGTGTGTTGGCTGGGGCACTGGGGATGAATGGCAGTGCTCAACAGGGTGCCTAGTGAGTGAGGCCGGATAAAGGCTCCCCCGTCACCCCACCCCGTGAGAAAGGCCTGGAGGTAGGTGTGGAGAAGGGGGCAGCCCAGCCCTCCCTGACTACCAGGGCCTGCTGTGGGGAAGGACCTGTTTCTAGGCCCTGGAGGCCCCCATCCCTCCAGTACTGGAGTAGTCCCCTCCCTGGGCAGGCCTCTGCTCTCCCAGGTCTAAGAAGAAGGGGAAGAAGGCCCACAGCAGCCCAGGCCTAGCACGGTAGCACTGTTTGGTTTGAAGGTCCCTGGGCCTTCCAAGTGGCCCTGGGGTGGGATGGGGGGGGGGGGACAGAGCTGCCCACAGGGGAGACAAGCCTGACACACTTGCCTGAGGGCTGGTTCTGGAATCTGGTGAGAGCTGAGCAGGGAAACGCTGTCCACCCTGGAATCTCGGTATATCTTCAGGCCTTGTGGTCTCAGCTCTGTCTACACCCAGGCCTAGGAACTAAACAGTCCCCTCAGAAAGCAGAAGGAAGCACATGTCGGGCTGTCCTTTAAGTCACAGCCAGAGGGAGAGAGGCTGAGGCAGTGGCCTTTGAAACCACAAGGGTTAGGGTTCTGCTGTGTGGCCTAGGGCAAATGACTTAATGTCTCTGAACCACAGGGACACCAGGAGGCCCTGCCCTTCATACCTGTCCTCTGAATCCCCTGAGGGCT